CATGGCTTCTATCCTATCACGTGCTCGACAAAATGCCTCACTGAAAGCTTTGGCTGGAGATGTTCTAAATTCTCGCTGTTTAATGTCCCCTGGAGCTTTAGGGTTCTTCATTCGGTGCCTGGGCAATGCTGGGCTGGTGGAAGAAGCAAGTTCTGTTTTTGATCGGGTTAGAGAGATGGGTCTTTGCGTTCCGAATGCTTACACGTATAATTGTTTGTTAGAAGCAATTTCGAAGTCGAATTCAAGCTCGGTTGATTTGGTTGAGTCGAAGTTGAAGGAGATGAGAGATTGTGGGTTTGAGTTCGATAAGTATACTCTGACGCCAGTTTTGCAGGTTTACTGCAACACTAAGAAGTCTGATAGAGCGTTAAGCGTTTTCAACGAGATTCGAAGTCGAGGCTGGCTTGATGAACATATCTCGACGATCTTGGTTGTATCGTTTTGTAAGTGGGGTCAGGTGGATAAGGCTTTTGAGTTGATTGAGATGCTTGAGGATCATCATGTTAAGTTGAATTATAAGACGTATTGTGTTTTGATTCATGGGTTTGTAAAGGAGTCTCGGATTGATAAAGCGCTTCAGTTGTTTGAGAAAATGCGGCTGATGGGTATGAATGGTGATATTGCTTTGTATGATGTGTTGATGGGAGGGCTTTGCAAGCGTAAGGATCTTGAGATGGCTCTGAGTTTGTATTTGGAGATTAAGAAGTCGGGAATTTCGCCTGATAGAGGGATACTTGGGAAGCTAATACGTTCATTTTCTGAAGAGAGTGAATTAAGTCGGATAACAGAAGTGGTTGTTGGAGACATAGATACAAACTCTGTGATGCTTCTTTACAGATCTTTGTTGGAGGGGTTTATTAGGAAGGATTTGGTGCAAGATGCTTACAATTTTATTCAGAGTCTCATGGGGAATCATCAGTCGGATAGTGTGTCTGAGATTATCAAGCTTCTAAAGGATTATGATAAAGCAATTCTCCCAGATTCCGATTCTGTTAGCATTGTGATTGATTTCTTAGTCAAAGCTAATAAGGTTGATATGGCAGTGGGCTTGTTAGATGATATTGTCCACAACGGTGTGACTCCAACTCTTATGATGTACAACAACATAATCGAGGGGATGTGTAAAGAAGGAAGGTCGGAAGAAAGCTTGATACTCTTGGGGGAGATGAAGGAAATGGGAGTTGAACCAAGTCAGTTCACGCTTAACTGTATTTATGGTTGCTTGGCTGAACAATGCGATGTTGCAGGAGCACTCGACGCGCTGAAAAAGATGCGTTTTTATGGATTTGAGCCATGGATAAAGCATTCGACCTTCCTTGTTAAAAAGCTCTGTGAGAATGGAAGGGCCGTGGATGCTTGCAAATACCTTGATGATGTGGCTAGAGAAGGTTTCTTTGGTCACATGGTTGCCTACACTGCTGCAATTGATGGTCTGATAAAAAATGAGGGACTAGATAGAGGTTTGGAGTTATTCCGAGATATATGTGCCAATGGTCATTCCCCTGACGTGATTGCATATAATGTATTGATAAAAGCTCTGTGCAAAGCATCTCGAACTACTGAAGCTGATAGCCTGTTTAACGAAATGGTAGCGAAAGGACTAAAACCTTCTGTTGCTACTTACAACAGTATGATAGATGGATGGTGCAAGGAGGGTGAGATTGATCGAGCCATGTCTTGTATTGTGAGGATGTATGAGGATGAGAGAGACCCTGATGTTATTACGTACACTAGCTTAATCCATGGGCTATGCGCTAGTGGAAGGCCTAGTGAAGCAGTCTCTCGTTGGAATGAAATGAAGGGCAAAGATTGCTGTCCAAATAGAATTACTTTCATGGCACTTATACAGGGTCTTTGCAAGTGTGGCTGGTCTAGTGAAGCCTTGGCTTATTTTCGTGAGATGGAAAAGAAGGAAATGGAGCCTGATTCAGCTGTTTACTTGTCGCTTGTTAGCTCTTTTCTGTCAAGTGAAAACATCAGTGAAGGATTTGGGGTTTACAGAGAGATGATTCATACAGGAAGATTTCCTGTGTCAGTAGACAAGAACTATCTCCTTGCTGTTGATGCTGCAAATAAGTTTGTGGAAGACTCGAGGACATCATGTTATCTTACAGGACTAATAAAAGACGGAAGGCTTCCTATTGTAGCTGCTGTGAGTAGACAATGAGGAAAGCGCTTCTAATTGAAACAGGGTGTTCCAGCTTGACGTGAAGAGTGCCTTCTTGCACGGATTCGTCAAAGAAACTGTGTTTGTGCAGCAACCTGAAGGATTCGTCAAAGAAGGGGAAGAAGACAAAGTTTACAAGTTGAAAAAGGCTTTGTATGGGCTCAAGCAGGCGCCAAGAGCTTGGTACAGCAGAATTGAGGCCTACTTCATGCGAGAAAGGTTTGAAAGATGTCCCAGCGAGCACACATTGTTCACAAAGGCAAAAGGAGGTAAATTCATAGTTGTCAGTCTTTATGTTGACGACTTGATATTTACTGGAAATGATAGAGGCATGTGTGATGAGTTTAAGAGCTCAATGATGCGGGAGTTTGAGATGTCTGATTTAGGAAAGATGAAACATTTCCTTGGCGAGAGTGGGATATTTATCTGTCAAAGGAGGTACGCAAATGAAGTGTTAGCAAGATTTGGGATGGAAGAGAGTAACTCCGTGAAGAGTCCAATTGTGCCGGGAACAAAGCTGCACAAAGACGAGGGTGGTGACATTTTGAAGCTGGAATCCACCATTTTGTTTATTTGTGTGTTAATTAGTTTTTTCCTTTCTTTTCTTTTTGAGTATTTACTTGTATGTATATGAGATGATGATGATGAGAAAGAAAACGAAAAATAACAAAAGGGGTTTGTTGTGTTACATTTTAAAATGTTGGGGTTAATTGAAAATAAAGAACACGGACGGATAATTTGTCCTAATACTTAAAAGTTGGGGGGTTCTTTTACAATTGATTTGATCGGAATCGTGAATTTAAACCGTTTCGCTCCAATGTAGTGTACAGAGGGCGAATGAATTTCAAATCATCATCTCTCTTCGCAAACTCGATTCTGCTTCACCGATGCAAATCAATGTCGGAGCTGAACAAAATGCACGCCCTCCTGATCACACTTGGCCTCTCCGAAGAAGAACCTTTCGCTTCTCGAACTCTTTCCTTCTCTGCTCTGTCTTCCTCCGGCGACGTCGATTACGCTCACAGATACCTATCGAAACTATCCAATCCTCCGGCTTTCGGCTGGAATTATGTAATACGAGGTTTCTCCAATACCAGAAACCCCGAGAAAACGATCCGCGCGTATACCCAGATGCTGAGGACCGGGTTTTCACCAGATCACATGACGTATCCGTTTCTATTGAAGTCGATTTCTCGTCTCTTGAACAGGAAACTCGGTGGGTGTCTGCATTCCTCCGTCGTGAAAACTGGGTTCGTTTGGGATTTGTTCATATGCAATTCTCTTCTTCACATGTACGGCACGTTCCGAGACAGAGCTTCCGCGCGCAAACTGTTCGATGAAATGCCGGTTAAGAACTTGGTCACTTGGAACTCGATTTTGGACGGGTACGCCAAATGCGGAGATGTAGTTTCGGCAAGACAAGTGTTTGACGATATGACTGAGAGAGATGTCGTGTCTTGGAGTTCTATGGTCGATGGGTATGTAAAAAGCGGTGATTATAACGAAGCTCTTGAGATTTTCGATCAGATGATGAGTGTAAGCTCATCAAAGGCAAACGAAGTCACTATGGTTAGTGTTTTGTGCGCTTGTGCTCATTTGGGTGCGCTAAACCGAGGGAAGATTGTACATCGCTATATACTCGATGAGCGTTTGCCGTTAACAGTTATATTGCGGACATCTCTTATTGATATGTATGCTAAATGCGGGTCGATAGGAGACGCTTGGGGCGTGTTTCGCGGAGTATCTGTTAAGGAAACGGATGTGCTTATGTGGAATGCTATGATTGGAGGGCTTGCGAGTCACGGTTTCATAAGAGAGTCGCTTCAGTTGTTTCACAAGATGCAAGAATCCGAGATTGATCCGGACGAGATAACGTTCTTGTGCTTGCTTGCTGCTTGTTCTCATGGCGGATTAGTGAGAGGAGCATGGCATTTGTTCGCGAGTTTCAAGGAAAGCAGAGCGGAGCCGACGACCGAGCATTATGCTTGTATGGTCGATGTGCTTTCCCGAGCTGGTTTGGTTAGAGACGCATATGGTTTTATATCCGAAATGCCGATAAAACCGACGGGTTCGATGTTGGGTGCTTTGCTTAACGGTTGTATAAACCATGGGGACTTGGAGCTTGCTGAGACAGTTGGGAAGAAGCTTATAGAGCTGCAACCGGATAATGATGGACGGTATGTCGGGCTAGCAAACGTTTATGCGATCAACAAGCGGTTTGGTGCGGCGAAGTCTATGAGAGAAGCAATGGAGAAGAATGGAGTGAAGAAAGTTGCAGGACATAGTATTATTGAGTTGAATGGAAGGCCACATAGATTCATAGCTCATGACAAAACACACTTTGATTCCGAAAAGATTTATACATTATTACATCTGCTTGGAACTGGGATGGATTGTAGTGATGATAGTGAAGATTATGATTGTGTTTGTTTTGATCATATCTTACTGTAATATAATATTGTTTTTCCATTTCTGATTACTTGGGTGTTAGTTGATTTAGATAAAGAATATTTGCTTCACTCTTATTTCTTGCAATGGAAGATATCATTTGAATATGACCAATTTGAGTTATGTTCAGTACAACATGTAAACAAAAGGTGATTATCTTCTTCAAGGCGACGGAGTTTGCTTTTAAAATGTAAAAAAATAGTGATTATCTTCTTATTGTCAAACATTTTGATTATCATCACTCTTCCATTGAAAAAAAAAAGTACATCGATTTAGCAAAACAAACCCAAAAGAGTGTAACCATCAATGGCGAGGAATTAGGGTTTTCTTTTTTCTTGAAAGTTTCAAGAAGGAAAAAAAAAAGCGTGAGATAGTGAAATTCACTTCACTGCTTCAAAAGACCTCTTTCTTTAAAGAGATCGTACATTGCGGCTCCGATCTTGGCAGGAGATTCAACAACCTTCACTCCGGCATCATTTAAACTCTTAATCTTGTCCTGAGCTGTACCTTTGCCACCGGAAACAATGGCTGTGGATAGAGAAAGAAACAAGAGAAAGCGAGTGAGCGCAACGAAACAAAAGTAGTAAATCCGGTTAGGGCGTTATATGGCTTATGAAAATACCTCCGGCATGACCCATTCGACGACCAGGTGGAGCAGTAAGTCCAGCAATGAAAGCAACCACAGGCTTATCAGTACCACTTGCCTGTTTATATTCATCAAGAACCAAAAGTTGAGTTTTACTTTGANTAAGAGTGAAGTTTCTTTGCTTAATTTGAACACAATATATGCTGCCCTGTGAGGGGTCTGACCCCGAAAGATCAGCCGCTTTTTGTGCTGGTTTTCCAAGAAAATGAAATCTTTTAATGGAGAGAGTTTGTATGAAAGCAAAAGTGCAATTAAGTCCATGTATTTAGACCAAAAAAATTATAATTCATTAGTGTGTCTTGGGATATTCGTTATATATATTGTATATTTTAAACTTTACCTTTGTTAGGCACAGAAGTCTGTTTTAAATACGATATAGTAAGATTAGTTGCATTTGTTCTAACCAAAACACGTTTTGCATATAAATATAGTTCGATACATGCATATAACAAGATCTATTTTCCCATAAGTGAACTAGCTAGACTGTCTAGTCTACTGTTGTTCTCACTCATGTAATTGTAATTTGTATCAATGGTTTATCTTATATGTATAAATCAAACATGAGAAGCGTGCGTTAAACCTATTCGATACACGGAGTCTACACGACATGACATGCGTTGGTTATTGTCGCCATGGCACACTCAAAGTATTTGAAAGTTCTTTGCAAAAAAGAAATAAACAAAAAATCAAACGCTATGTCAAAGTTCTATACAATATGTTGAGTTGTATTGTGTGTATCATTTATGTGTATTTATGTCATAGACACTGAACCAGAACAGCAGTTAAGATTTGCGTTAATGTCCCATTTGTTTGAACTTTGAAGTGTTACATGGACCGAGGCGAATCAACAGATTAGCAATTAAAGTTAAACATAAGATTTCATTAATCAAATGAATTGAAGTTCTAAATGCTATGATGAAAATTTAAAAAGCATAAATTAATAATACAAGAAAGGTCTCTCAGAATCCGAAAATCCATGAGCGTTTCTATTTCATTCCTCTAACAGCTTCTATTCCCACTGATTTCTGTCAGGAAATAGCAAAGTTAAGTATTTATGAGTTCAAAGACAAAGCTAATGTTTGATTGACTATGTAATGTTTAAAAGTTAAATACATTTTTGTCATCTGATCAGATATCTTAATCGGATATTTCTTAGTTTTCCGTGTTGGGCATTTCCGAAATTTCAAATGAAAAAACTTTCAGGTTTGACGTGTGATTTATATTTAAAAAAAGGCTTGAACAGATTGAAGTTCTTGGTGAAAACATTTTAGTTCATCCGTTTTATATTATTTGTCGTTTTGAGAAAATATATATGCAATGTATTTATATTTAGATGTATTAAACTCAAAACATATCCAAATACATACAAATACATTTTCTTAAAACGACAACTACTATAACGGAAGAAGTATTTTATAATATAATATACAATGTAATTAATTAGCTTATGACCTAAGTCAAACATGTTATAGTATTTATTTTCTCATTTTTTGTGGGTTTTAACAAAAGTACGAATACCAAAATATAGAATTTCTCAATAGTTTCTTGCTTTTAGTAAAATCTGGTTGAGGTTTCTAATTTAGCAATAACCATTGTTTTCTTTAATATTTTTTCACTACAAGTACCATCAATAAAATCCATTATTTACTACACCGTCAAATAGTAACTAATACAAACTAGCTGAAAAGTGCCAAGAGAAATAGAATTATTTGAAACTGATGTTAATTACGTGTATACGTTAGTGAACTGGTATTCCCATACTCTTTTATACTCAAACAAATGATGTCCAATAAATTATGCTATAACGTTTGACATATACTATCATTGTTCATGACTTTTCATATAAAGAGCAAAAAGTATTTTCTTTTATAAGTAATTTTCTTTTTCTACCGACTCCAAACCAGATCAAACTATAGGCGAAAGTCTAGGAATACATCAAAATCAACGAGATCACAAAAAGCCAAGTTCCCTCGGTTAATACCCATTTTGTCTCTTCAAACTTTTTTGTTGACATCATTTTTGTTTGTAACTTCCCAAGCGTGTGTACTTGATTTTAGAGCTTTCATTTAATCTAATTTTCCCTTTTCTAATGATCTTTTAATCGATCTGTAAAATATGATGAAAATATTAAGATTCAAAGTTGAAAGTCTTTAAAAGCCCAAGCACCCATACCTCTGTCTTCGCAAACATAATGTACGAGTATTAATAATGTCTCTAAGCATCATCCTTGGCTTAGAAATATAAATGTGTCTGATTGAATTCGTTCTAGTCCCTTTCAACTACTTCCATGTTTTAATAATACGTATATCATTTAGAGTTTCACGTGGTAAATTAGTTTAATACTCTCGTCTAAGAGATGTTGTCAAAGTGTGAAAACTCGGTTTTATCCTGACTATTCAGTAGATATTGTTGTCCATTCTCCAACTTTAGACAGGTAAAGAAAAGAACCAAAACCCAAATCAATATTCCAAAATCAGTCTTTTTAAAATATGAGATTTTTCAAAGTTCGACTTCCATAATGTTTTTAACTTTACCAAGTAACCGACAGAACAGAGTCGTCTTGTGGAAGTACCGATATAAAACATTTTTATTAAAGCTTTCTATCTTGTGTACAAGCTACCAAAAGACACAACAACATCATCTTCTAGCTATTTCTAGGAGACTGCAAAGAGTTGTGAAATTTCGTCTTGCACTACAAAAACTCAAAGAATCCAATACAAAAATGTAGAGAAACATAATCAGCAACGCTTCACTTTATGTTCCTGATTATGATTCAATAAAAACAAAATTCTACATCACTAATTTGTACTAAACTATCATGTACATGGATGCCCCATGTAAATTAAGCTCAACATCTTTCAAGAATGACATTGTAGATAAACAAATAAATAAATTAAAAAACCAGTTTGTTGTACAATGATACAAAACAAAGACAGAGAGTAGAACAAGAACTCAATATTGTGTATATACAAAAATCTCAAAATCCAGCTAATTCCCCGTGAGAACAAAAAAAAGAGAAAACACAAACAAATTAAGTTTCTGATATCAAAACTACATCTCCACGACACAATGTAATCATCATCCAACCTCAGGCAGATACAGAAACAGAACATTTTTGACCAAAAACACTCAATCGTCTTTGAATTCTTTAGTCGGACGTGCTTCAAGTCCTCCATCTGCTCTTTTCTCAAGAGAATAAGGCATATAAGTCCCCAGAATCCGATCCCACACGACAAAGAAAGGCTGAGAGAAATTGAATTTGCTTCCATAAAGCTGATGATGCACGTCATGGTAAGCAGAGTTGTTCTTAAAGACCATATGGAACAGGTTTCCGGGAAGCCAGAGACCGCAATGGTCGTCCACGGTTTTGATAGTCGCAAAAGAGAAGAAGAAGATTGAAGTTCTTGGAGACATACCGGAGATCAGGAAAGATAAAGCGCCACCAACTGTATCCAAGAGAAGACCTTCCACTGGATGGTTGTATAAGGCTCCGTATGCGTAAGGGACGATAAGACGGTGGTGCTGAGAGTGGATATGCTTGTATAAGAACTTGTTGTGATGCATGTATCGATGGATGAAGTATTGCCATGTGTCGAGGACTATCATTGCCGTCACAAACTGTCTCGCTAGGACCAGTAGGGAAAGCTTTTCGTCTACTTCAGCATCACTTCCTGTGACCTGTGTCAACAATGAAGAAGCATGTCAAGTAAGCAAAGTGAAGGTATCAAAGCCATGTTTGAAGCAAACCACAGGATAAGACGAAGGAAAAAATCAAGAAACCATGATGCTACTTCACAGATTGTAACAGCATTCACCACATAACAACTCATTGGAATATCAATCAACAAATTTTCAAGTAGAACTTATATTGCTACTGAATCGAATGTAAGCAAAGAACAGAGTACAAGGGTGGATTCTAGAGCACACCAAGCTCTCCAATGACCAAAACCAATTACCAAATCACTCAGAGCCCTTCACTGATCTCTTCAATACCTATTTACGTTCATGCTTTCCTCTAAAACTCTAATTTTTCTAACACTGATATATGAACAGAGTACAAGGGTGAATCTTAGAGCATACTAAGCTCTCCAATAGCCCCAAACCAATTACCAAATCACTCCAAAGCTCTTCAATAACTATTTACGTTCATGCTTTGCTCTAAAGCTCTCTAACTTTTCCAACACTGATATATGAACAGCTCTCAAAAAGGACTGAGCATTGTTCAACTATTAGAACTAAACCTTTCTTCGAGCTTCTTAGCTTTAGATTCATCAATCTCCTATCTTTAAAACCCAATTTGTTCAAGGAAAATGCAGATACCACAAATTTTTTAAGTCAATATCAGATCAATAATGCAGATTTTCTCTTTTTTTTTGGGTGGAAACTACAGTAACCCAAAAGATTCGTCACTTTTCTATACAAATCCAATTCCGTCAGCATCAGATAACAAAATCCCCCAATTGATCCTAATCCACTAAACAAGAGCAAAGTTCGAAAAATTGGAAACATTACCGTGAACAAGATGATAGCGACAACAGCTTGGACGAGCTGCTGAAGAAGAACGCCTTTCACGACGGAAGATTTCGAGACGAGATTCTTCTCTTCTTCCTCAGCTTTGGAATGCAATCTGTAACCCTCGAGAGACGATAGCGCGACGTAAATCCCGGAATAAAGCCAATAAACCACAATCGGAGCAACAGTGCCCAGCAATTCGTCGGAGACAGCAAAACCCATCTTCGTCCCTTAATTCCTTAATCCTCCTCTCAGCTTCAGATCCTTCATCAACTGTAACCCAAATGGGGAAAATGATGAGGAGAGGGAAATAGCCACAAGAGCACAGATTTTTCCTGGAAAATTAACCGAGAAAACTTCCAAAAAGTCAATTTGATTTTTTTCGAATCGATGATTGAGATCGTTAGGGTTAGTGATTGAGTTTGACAAATCAACGAAGGAAACAAAAATGATGGAAGCAGAGAGAAAACGACACACTCGAAACGAGAGACGTGGCTCAAGTGTGCTCATTAAATTAAATTACAAAATATCTCAGTTATCTACTGTGCTAAGATCTACACTGAGTCTGCTTACGTGGCGGAATCCGAAAGCGATTGTAGTATGAGATGGAATATGTGACGTTGGATTGTGTAACGCATACCTTGTTAACGTGTTATTTACCGTACTGGATTCTACCTGTTTGCGCTGTCGTCCGTTAAACGGCGCCGTATATGTTTGAAGTTTTGTTTGGAAAATTGAGTACAATTGTTTTCCCTTGTAGAAACTAGAAACTAGAAAGATTCAACAATTTTTAGTTTTTTTTTTCAAATTTCAAACTCTTGTAGTTTTAATATCCGTTTTTTTTGGAGTGAAGACAAAGACTTCTTTTACGTTTAACAATTTTTATAATTCTTCTATCATCTTAAAAGACAATCTCATCTTTTAGTTTTTTTAAAAAGTAACCATTGTACAACTTGTACTTGAGTTGAGTGACATTAGCGCTGTCTCTTTGTTCACAAACGTTGTCGCTCTTTATTTCTTTTTTCTTTTCTTATGATGCATTTGTGATTTGTTTTTTTTGTTTAATGGAAACTAGAGAACTATGCGAATCTTGATGATATATAAATATAATAGCTTAAGTAAAGAGATCCAAGACATAATAGTAGCATTGTACAAGAAAGTAAAAAATAGAGATTAATTAGATAACGGGAGAGTATTTGGTCGCGGAATCAACTTTAAATTCGACCTCAACATCCAAATTGTCTTCCTTGTTCAAGTAAAGCTTCCGAACTTCAGCTAGAGACAAATAGTGATCCCAACCCCAACTCCTCTTTGATTCCTCGTGCCAGTGGTTCACTGCAAGAAAACAAAATGCCAAACATGGTTTATTATAAAAATTTAAAAAGACAGAACGCACCAAACATGGTTATGAGATACTGAAAATGAGTACATATCTTGAAGACTGTATCAAACAACAGTTAAAAAACAAAGTAAAAAAAAATATAGCTGTGTTTTAGAAAATATATACTTTGGAGTGCAAAGTGAGTGGATCCAAGTGGGTCTAGAACTCGCAAATGTCCTTGCACGGAAATCTTCTCATCTGCTTTCGGTTTATCACTATCAGCTAAATACAGAAAAATGGATACCCATTTGCCATCCTTTTTAGATTGGCCCTTCGATCGGATACAGCTTTAAAACCCTAAACGTACAAAACACTAATTATATAATGAAATACTTATTTAACATTCATAAGATTCTGATAGCGCCAAAACAAAGTTTTGCAGAATTATATATATATTATATACTCACCATTTCCTTCCTCCCATTGAAAAAATGTTTGATGTGTAAACATCCTCTTTCAACAAAGAAAAATTCTTAACAGTCCATGAGAACTTGGGATTAGGGAGTTTCTCATCAAAAGAGAGGATCTCCCAATTGGTAAAGGGAGGAGCAACAATGACATCAATACCAAACTCACATTGACCACCTTCGTATACGTATCCATTTGAAGGATTAATGAACGTTTCATATGGAAGAACTTCTTGCAACCCCACACCGTTTTAAGTGCATTGAACCTCTTCACTTCTACATCTGAACTTGAACAAATATTATATACTATGTGAAACATTCAGAGAGAGCTAGAGAGAGAGATGTGTGGTTCACCTTGAATAGTGAAGTATTTGTTTTGTTTCTTGTTGAAGACAAAGAAACGAAGTTCCCCAAAAACCTCAGTTGGTGGTGTGAATACCATCAAGCTTTTGCTATCTATTTCCACGTACATTGATAGAAATCCACTCCCATTGTCCTTTTTGTTTCCTTTTGGATATACGATCAATCTCCTGTTTTTACAAACAACATTTCATTAGCTAATATATAATAAGATAGAGCATGTATCCTTCAAATAAACTAACAAAAACAATGCAGTAACAAAAACCTAACTTCGCTTAACGCTAAATCACACAACACGTACCAGTTATATCCACCGGAGGAGAAAACACGAGATTGGTATTTATCATCAGAGGAAGAAGTCGAGATCTCAAGTTGTGAATCTTTAGGGAATAAGAAGATGGAGGATGCTCTCTCCAGTTCGCCACAATTTTAGAAACTGGTACTGACTACTGAGCTTGAACCCATTCTAGGCAACCAAGTTGCAAGTCTAAAAAGTAAGGAAAAAACTATGTTACTGTAAACCCTAATTAGACTAATCTAACCGAGTCATTTTTAGATGGGCTTGGCCTTGGTTGAGCTCATACACAAAATGAGTCTAGAGAAAATAAAGTACTTTAAGGGAAACTTTACACCTAAATTAGAGGAATGGTAGAATAATCCTTTTGAAAACAACAAGAAAAAAAAAACTGTGAATATAATCAGTTTTCTTCTCTAAACCAAAATTATTAAACCTGAGAAATCGAATGATACTTATAAACGTCGTGACTCACATAGGGCATCATCTCGTTCCCATAGCAATACAGTAGTCAAAGTAGAAGAATGGTATGTAATTAAAAACTCAAATTCGTATTAGATAACGGGAGAGTATTTGGTCGCAGAAACAACTTTGAATTCGACCTCAACATTCAAATTGTCTTCCTTGTCCAAATAAAGCTTCCGAAGTTCAGCTAAAGACAAATATTGCTCCCAACCCCAACCCGTGTTTGCTTCCACGTGCCAGTGGTTCACTGCAAGAAAACAAATTGCGAAACATGGTTATTCTATAAAGACAGAAGGCCAAATTAACAATATCTAAGTACATATCTTGAAGACTGTATCAACCGTTGTATAGTTGGTAATAAAGTAAAAATATTGTTATTTAGAAAATACTTTGGCGTGCAAAGTGATTGGACCCAAATGGATCTAGAACTCGCAAATGTCCTTGCACGGAAATCTTCTCATCTGCTTTCGGTTTATCACTATCAGCTAAAAGGAGAAAAGTGGATAACCATTTGCCATCTTTGGTATAGCCCTTCGGATACAGCATTAGAACCCTACACAAAAAAATTAAGTAATTATTATGAGCTACTTATTTAACATTCATACACACGCATGCACATGTGCATAGATACATATTGCTTACTCCAAAAAGAAAGTTTTTGCTACATACGCACCATTTCCTTCCTTCCATCGAAAAGATGTTTGATGTTTGTTCATCCTCTTTTAACAAAGAAAATTTCTTAACATTCCAAGAGAACTTGGGATGAGAGATTTTCTCATTAAAAGAGAGAATCTCCCAATTGGTAAGGGGTGGAGCAACGATGACATCAACACCAAACTCACATTGATCTTCCTCGAAGATGTATCCATTTTCAGTTTTAATGAATGTATCATATGGAAGAACTTGCTGCAATCCCCACACCGTTTTGAGTGCATTGAACCGCTTTACTTCTACATCTGAATAATCATATAATATAATTACATCATGTGGTATATATATATATATATATATATATATATATACACATAGAGAGAGAGAGAGCATGAGTGCATGATATTGACCTTGAATAGTGAAGTACTTGTTTTGTTTCTTGTTGTAGACAAAGAAACGGAGTTCGGCAAAAACCTCAGTGGGTGGTGTGAATACCATCAAGCTTTTGCTGTCTATTTCCACGTACATGGAAATAAATCCACTTCCATTGTCCTTTTTGTTCCCTTTAGGGTATACAATCAATCTCCTAATTTTGTAAACACAGCCTTGTTAATTAATAAATTAACAAAGGGTATATTTGATAAGTCCGATGCTGAATAATAATGAATGCATTAACAAAAACCTCAGGTCGACGCTTAATTAATACTAGACCACACAATCCGTACCAGTTATATCCACCGGAGGAGAAAAGGCGAGATTGGTATTTATCATCAGTTTTAGCAGTCGAGTTCTCAAGCTGTGGGAAGTTTTGAATCTTGAGTGAATAAGAAGATGGATGATGCTCTCTCCAGTTCTCCACAATTTTAGAAACTGGTACTGAGCCTGAACCTGAACCCATTCTACGCAACCACGTTCAAGACTTCAAGTGCAAGTCTAAAAAGTTCAAAGAATAAAAAAACTACTATATATATTGTAAACCCTAATTGACTTCCTAATTGGTCTAACCGAGTCATTTTTAAATGGGCCTGGACTCGGTTAGGCAGGTAAGAGTTGGGCTTTACGGGTTAATATAAAGCCCATATAGGAGGTCGTTTTCAGTTACGAAGAGGAAGCATAAGGGAAGTAAAAGATCAGTCAAACATGAAACCAAGTAAATGGAGAGATTTGATGTTGAGAAGTTCGTAATCGGAGCTTGATAAGGGATTCGGAAAAAGTTTACGTTTTTGATTCTTAAAACTGATCCAAAACATAAAGAGAAGGGTACTTGGGTAAATTCAAAAAAAATCAAACCAGTCTCGTGCTCCAAACAGAGCATGCCCACAAGCTGCTCGACGAAATTCCCCAACGACAGAAATGTATATAAAGGAAGAGTCTTTTGAAGAGATTTGTGTTTCTCGTTGCAGAGGAAGAAGAAGAAACCTCCTCTCTCTTATCACGTGGCTCTCACATGATAAAAGCTTCGTCCTTTGCTTTTGCATTTTGCCGCGCAAAGAATCCTCGAGAGAGTCGACACCAAGAAATCGGAAGAGTTTTTTTGAAGAGATTTGTGTTTCTTGTTGCAGAGGAAGAAGAAGGAAGCTCCTTTCTCTTATCACGTGGCTCTCACATGATAAAAGCTTCGACCTTTTGCTGTTATATCTGAAGCAAAGCTTCGACCTTTTGCTGTTACCTTGAGAGAATCCATCTCATCTCCAAGATGGATCCTTCTATCGTGCAAAAGGAAGAAGACGCAAGGCTCGTAAAGCTTGTGGAAGATTACATCCGTCAAGAAGATCACAACAAGGCCATGGAGGTAATTGAAGATTCGATTTCAGTCCGTGGGATACAGAAACTCCCCAGGGCGTTGAATTTCCTTGAAGGCTCTGTTTTGTTTCAGCTAGGGAATAGAAACGAGGACATTGACTTAAAGTTTGCGTTTTTGCTGGGTTCTGGGGAATGCTACATGGTAAATAATGGGGTACACTATTATGCTACCATGTCAATGTTTGAGTTAGCCAAACATATTGACTCAGCAGTGTATTACAGGAAAGCTATAAAACACGCAAGAGCGAATCTGTCGTTTCTTGCTTCTTTTGATCGGTTGAGTCCGGCTGATGAAGACGCAAAACGTACACTCGTGAACATACTTGAGTTTGCAGAGTCAAAGATCCGACTTGGTGTTAGTGGTAAAGTCTCTCAGCCAAAGGTAGAGAATGTTGGAAACACGATTAGGTCTGACTCTAATACTGTTGAGGGTAAGAGACTGAAGTTGTATTGGGCTGGTATGGATGCTGAGAGTAAAAAGAAGTTTGTGAAAGTAAGTATTGAAGAGCTTAGAAGCTATGTGGAGAGATTGTACGGCAGAGAAGGAGAAGATGCTTTGGAGCAAGTTCTTGATTCTGCAAGAACAGAGAAGAAGTGGAGATTCTGGATGTGTAGAACTTGTTCAGAGAAGTTCTTTTATCAGAGAAAGTTCAAGAATCATCTTGAGCAGAAGCATGCTGCGAAGTTTAAGCCTTCTACGACGAAGCATATGGCTCAGAGGGTAGATGAAGCGTGGGCTGGTTTGTTAATTGTTGGAGATTGGGAGCCGGTGGATACAGTAGCTGCTGCTGAGATGATCAAGACTCGGCTTGAGTTTGTGAAAGCGTTTGTGTATGAGAATGGATGGTCCAGAGACTGGCCTTTAGCTGCAGATGGAGAGCGAAGGAAGCTACTCAAGGAAGTTAAGTTGCTTCTTGTGTCGTTTGAGGAGTGTAAGATTCTTTCTTGTGGTGTTCGAGACTGGTTGATGCGTTTTGTGATTAGGCATCTTGCACAGTATGAAGTTTCAGAGTGCCGCCTAGTGGAAACACCTCAGAGTATCTGCTTTTTGGAATGTGGTGAGCTCAGTGAAGTTATAGACCTTCTCAAGCTCATCAAGTGTGAAAGGGATGATGGCGCAGATGTGGTTAGCAGAGCAGTGGATAGTTCATTGGGTCGTGCTCGAGTTAAAGAAAAGATTGAATTCGATGATCAGTTTTCATCTATGCTTCTGGATAAAAGACTGCTGAGAGGAGAGATTTCTTCGTTTGATGATGAAGGGACAATAGGTTTTTGTGGTGAGGATGTTTACTACGCCAAGACACATCCTCAGGGAGATGATTTCATAACCTGGTTGCTTGACTTTCCTCTGATAGATGAGAGCTTTGAGTTTCCGAGATCTATCAGAGCATACAATCTTGATATATGGGTTGCTGTTCTGAGAGCCATTCACTTCACGTGTAGGGACTTGGGAGCCAAATATGCAAAGAAGTTGAATATCTTAGGTTATGATGCATGTCTTGTCGACGCCATAAACCTATGTGTATGCGAGAATGAAAGGAGAAACAATGTTCCGGAACATGAATGGAACAAATATGCATATCTTCTACACAAAGAATGTGAAGAGCGTGGAACTAAGGAGCCTTACTGTTCTCTCAATACACACATGTTCCTGTGTGCAGTGAAAGATGTTCTCGAAGAAGCATCGCATCCGACGTTTTATTTCCCTGATCTGGGAGATTGTATGAAACTTATACATGGGAATAAAGATGTCAGTGATGAGAGAGTGTGGAAGTCCATGGATCTTCTGAGATCAGTGGTCGCCAACAAGGTTATATACTGATCTGAGTTTTTGTTAATAACATGATAACATACACGAATTGTTATGGTAAAGTATCTTTTTAACTTGCAGGTTCCGTTAGCCGATTCAAAGATTTTACTGGTTGAAAATTCAAGGATTAGTTTGCTAAATGACCTCATCAGGCTTTCTGTTTTTGACCACCGATCTTATATCCTTAATCTGCTGAAACGTTGCTTGCGGGTTGGTTTTTGGAACTTTAGTTTTTATACATAGAGCTCTGATATTCTCTTTGACATGTAGCTTATACTACAACTTATGTCTCTTCTTCTAGGACAAGTTAGATGGAATAGTAGATATGGATACCAAAGCCAAGGTAGCTGCAGCAGGTGCAGATCTTTTATCCGAGAAAAGCCAAGAGAAGGAGAAGAATTCAGGGTCAAAGAAAAGAAAACATGGAAACAAGAAGGTTGTTGAAGATCTAAATTCTCTATTTGCTTCTCTGACTTTTCGGGTACTCAGTTGTAAGAACGAATGGTCTTCATTGCGTTACAGAGAACTTCGACGAGCTTGTCTAGTCTTCATGATCCGAAGGTCAAACAGTAAGTGTCTCTTCTCTGGATGAGAAAATTTGGTTTTTCAAGAGTCGTTTTGTAAGTTGATATCTTGTTTCCGGATTTTCTCTGAACAAAAAGTGTTTTTACATGTCCAGTGAACATCCTGTCAACCTTGAACCGGACGGTACGCATCTATCACTAGAAGATGATGTGGAAGAAAGTGCAGTGGAGCCAGAATGTACCAATGAGACGGCTAAAGGTGACTTTGATTGTAAAAGAGTTTCTCTATCAATGAATATGCTAATGTACTTTGTGATACATAATTCTTACTTGTTACATTTGGTATCTTCAAGATATGCAAACCATGCCTGGACAGGAGTCACTGTCGAAACCTTTGGAGTCAGCACTTCGAGAAGGTCCAGCCAGAAGCAATTTAGCTCTTGACATGACGCTGAAGGTAAAGCAGGCGCCAACAGAAAAAAAAAAGATTCAAAACCTTGAACAAATTGTGTAATATCTCTTTACTCACTTGTTTTCTTTGAACAATTGTGCTGCAGGCACTCTGTAACATTAAGGTTCTTAAAGAGTATTTGGTGCACAATCGGAATCAATTTCCTGACAACATGGAAGAACAAGTCCCTTTTGCACTAGGGAATTTCTTTGCTGCTTTTGCCTCGAACCAGATGAAAGAAGAGGGACTCTACAGTTACCTCCTCGGCAACGTACTTGCTTCCCTAGAAGAAGCTCATTTAATGGTTTGTGTGGATATATACATATATATATATATATGCTTCTAAGTTCGTTGATTGTAGTATGAGATATCATTCTGGTTATTTACTCTTTTCAGTCAAGTAATGCTTCTGAGCTGCTCGTAGCCATCCTTGAGTTCTGGCCTTGCTGGAAAATTCCAGAAATACAAAGCGTGGTAACTCATCTTTTTACAGTGGAAGAATATGAACGAATGAGTTGTAGCAAATGCAGAAAGAAGCCAAATTATCCAGAGCAGAGTTCTTATGGCATCGTTATGGCTGCAGATTCAATCAGAGACTTGAAGGTATGTTTCTTCTATCTCCCCCTTTGTCTATCCTACAGAAACTGGTAATTAATAATTTTTTTGTGGTTATATATGATGCAGTCTGCTTTTGGGAAAATTAAGTTTGAGGACATCCTTAAGGTGATTCGAATGGAAGAGAAAATGTTATGTGACATTAAAACCGGAGGCTGTGGAAAGGCAAACTTTGTTCATCACATTATAACTACACGCCCTCCTATATTCACAATCGGTAAGTGTTTTGACCATGATTGTGTGTGATCTTATCGACTCGTTTAATTGTGTTATGCACTATATGATAAAACAAATTTGGTGTTTTATGGGTTTTGCAACATTAGTTTTGGAATGGGAGAAGGATGAAACTGAAAAGGAAATATCTGAAACAACAAATGCTTTGGAGTGGGAGATAGATTTGAGCACGCTATACGAAGGCTTACAAGCAAACACAAAGTACCGGCTTGTGTCAATGGTAAAAATCTGATAAAAAGATTGTTGTGGTAAATTTTTCTGCAGAGTATTTCGCTGTTACAATCTGAGAATATGGAATTGCAGGTTGGTTGTGGTGGTGAAGACGGAGAACACATTTGCATGGCTTTTAAAAAGAATCGGTGGGTTAGTTTCAGACATGAAGCGTTAGCAAAAAAGGTAAGAAGAAACTTTTGGCTTTTCTTCTTCTTTCTTGAGTTTATTATGGGTCAGAGAGATTACTGATATGTGTTGTGGTGATGCCTTAGGCTGTTGGTAGCTGGAAGAGTGTAGTCAAATTCTGCGGAGAGACAAAGTTTCGGCCAGAGATTCTGTTTTATCAAGCTGTATTAGGAAGTTCCGGCGAGAACTTTGATGTATAGAACAGAGCATTTAGGTCTAGTTTTTGAAACAAGTTTATGTTCATTGTGTGAATAGAACAGTTGCAGTTACGTATAGGTGAAGTTACTATTCGGAACAAATAGTGTTACCTTCACTTGGACCAAATAGTGTTACGTATATGACAAAATCAGTTTTCTCGTTTTATTAAACCAAAGTTTATAAAAACTGAGAATTAAAATGATACCTATAAAATGTCCAAGATATAGCATCTCGTTCTCATAATCATATATTCTTCAAGTAAAAAATACTAGAGTTTAGTTAGATATGGGGAGAATATTTGGTCTCAGAAACAACTTTAAATTCGGCCTCAACATTCAATGCGTCTTCCTTGTCCAAGTAAAGCTTCCGAAGTTCATCTAAAGACAAAAAATGATTCCAGCCCCAACCCATGTTTGCTTCCTTGTGCCAGTGGTTCACTGCAAGTAAATAAAACGCGAAACATGGTTATTAGAAGACGAGCTGTACATATCCTTATCCTGAAGACCGTTATAATACCACTGTGTATCAACTATTGTGTAGTGAAAATAAAATAAAAATGTAGTTGTGTTTCAGGGAATACATTGGCATGTCTTGTGATTGGATCCAAGTGGGTCTAGAACTCGCAAATGTCCTTGCATGAAAATCTTCTCATCTGCTTTCGGTTTATCAATATCAGCTAAATGCAGAAAAATGGATACCCATTTGCCATCTTTATTGTTGAAGCCCTTCGGATACAGCTTTAGAACCCTATATACATACAAAACGTTAGTTATTATGAACTACTTATTTTAGGGTTGGCGACCTATTTCCCCACCACGAAGTATGGTGTCGTACTATACGCGGCCCAAACTAAAGGTCGGTGCTAAATCTCCATGAAAACAAAGTTCCAATCTTATATCTCCACAAAATCAAAGTTCTAAATCTAAATCTCCCCAGATTGAAAGTTCTATATCTCACTGCACACGAACACGGTTTTACCCGGTTTACTGTATACCAATTAAATATTAACCAACTAAATTTGATACTAAACCGATATTAACCCAATTATAACTTAATACGACCAGACCCAAGAAAATATGAGTGGACCCCACACTTCTTCTTCCCCAAATTTTTTCTTTTCTCTAATTCGCCATCAATATTTTCCCAGAATCCACACATATCCAACAAATTCCAGGAAAATATTGTTGATACATTGATAAGACGCCGAACAATGACCCATGAGCAGATCCATTATTGTCCATTAATGGCGATGTGGTGTTAATAACTAGGAGTGTGCCCAGATGAATTAGCCGGAAAATTGAACACAAATCAGCTTGGTTTTTTGAAGGAAAAGGACGATTCATAAGCAGAAACTGCGAATTAATTAGAGCAGAACATGGAAAATGATGTGGATTGGACACTGCTTCTCTTAAATTAGAGTATTTTGGGAGGGGAAAGCAAGATTTTTTACTCTTTTGTTGAGTACCCAAATAGAAAATCATCGAACTATGAATATAAAACCCAGAAAGTTTAAGTTTTTGCAACAAAAGCTAGAAATTTACTGGAAAACAGAGCTTGGAATTAAGAGGGAGACTGTGTTAATGGTGGAGCTGAGAGTTATAGAGAGAATTTGGAAGAAGTAGCTAAAGAGATGAGACAAAGGCAAAAACAAAAGAAAGAAGCTGTGTGAAAGATCAATTGTCTGAAGGATTCACGTTATTGTTCCCAGGTGAAGAAGAACTCTATGTTCAGGTCAATTTTTCCAAATTGGTTTTGTTGAAATTGAGTTTAGTTCGGTTTAGGGATCAGGTTTGGTAGATTTATGATTGGTTTGTAAACAATAACCAACAAAATCGATTTTATGTGGTCTAAGGTTTGAAACTTTCAGACGAGGGGGATATAAGATTGGAACTTTGTTTTCATAGAGATTTAGCACCGACCTTTAGTTTGGGCCGCATATAGTACGACACCATACTTCGTGATGGGAAAATAGGTCGTCAACCCATTATTTTACCATTTGGATACAACTTTAAAACCCTATATATACACAAACTTCGATTATTAATTATATGAACCACTTTTTTACCATTCATAAGTAAGCACACATATTTATTTAGTTTTATATATACTCACCATTTCCTTCCTCCCATTGAAAAACTGTTCGATGTGTGAACATCCTCTTTCAACGAAGAAAAGTTCTTAACATTCCAAGAGAACTTGGGATTAGGGAGTTTCTCATTAAAAGAGAGGATCTCCCAATTGGTAAGGGGTGAAGCAACAATGACATCAACACCAAACTCACACTGACCACCTTCGTAGACGTATCCATTTAAAGGGTTAATGAACGTTTCATATGGAAGAACTTCTTGCAACCCCCACACCGTTTTAAGTGCATTGAACCTCTTTACCTCTACATCTGAATTTGAACATTATATTATGTGATACATTCAGAGAGAACTAGAGAGAGAGATCAGAGAAAGAGATGTGTGGCTCACCTTGAATAGTGAAGTACTTGTTTTGTTTCTTGTTGAAGACAAAGAAACGAAGTTCAGCAAAAACCTCAGTTGGTGGTGTGGATACCATCAAGCTTTTGCTGTCTATTTCCACGTGCATGGAGATAAACCCACTTACATTGTCCTTTTTGTTCCCTTTTGGGTATACGATCAATCTCCTGTTTTTTCTTTTTTGTAAACAGCCTTGCGTTAGCTAATATATAACAAAAGAGAGCATGTATTCTTTAAATAATGATAATGAATGCATGCTAAATCACACAACCCGTACCAGTCATATCCACCGGAGGAGAAAAGACGAGATTGGTATTTATCGTCAGTGTTAGCAGTCGAGTTCTCAAGTTGTGAGAAGTTGTGAATCTTTAGGGAGTAAGAAGATGGAGGATGCTCTCTCCACTTCTCCACAGTTTTAGAAACTGGTAATGAGCTTGAACTCATTCTACAAAAACCACGTACAAGTGCAAGTTTTAAAAGGTTATATTGTCAACCCTAATTTGGTTGAATTTGTGATTATAAGCAAGAAACTGTAATTGTTCTCAGAATATTCTGAAAAAACTTTTTGTGTTGCTCTCTGAATTGATCGGGTGATTTTTGCTCTCCAAGCATAGATAAAAGACTTTACATTTGTTCTAAAAAGGTAAATTTGCTATTCTCTCTAAACTAAAAAGGATAAATCTAATATTCTTTCTAAATTAATGTTAATTATCTATATTTTGGTCCAGCTTTTCCTTGTATAAATTGGACATGTACTCATAGAAAGAAGAAGAGTCGACAAAAAGCGGGGAAAAAAATTAAAAGCGTAGAGGAGTTTACTGGTTAGGATCTCGATCGACATGTCTGAAAAAGCTATTTCGAAACACGCAGACGCTAACACAGGGGTTTTCTGGGACATCGTGGATTGCCCAATCCCTTGTGGTCTCGAGTTCGATCCTGATTCCATCTATGCCAACATCAAATTAGGTCTTGGTGAGTTGTCGACGATGACGATCTGGGCTTATGCTGGGAAGGTCCCAGAAACTATGTTTAATGACTATAATGAAGTCGGAATCACCATGCAACAAGTGATAGGTGATCAGTCTGCGCGAGTTGATCGGATGAAAGAGGACATCTATTCTTTTGCACATGAGAATAACTATCTTTGTAGTAGTTTGATGGTAATCGCAAAAGACATCTTAGAAGACGAGGAATTCATCAGATTTTGTGATAATTATTTGAAGGCGGGGCTCGGTCGTCGAATTCTTGTGGGAACACATCATCATGATGCTATCAGACCAGTAGAGCATCGTGGTATTGAGGTATGCTCTTAGAAGAGCCTATTAGAGGGACAAATTACTATTCCTTCAGATTTGGATCCCGAGAATAAATCTGTTGATGCATTGTCTGAAGAACTTGCCCACATTAGCACATGCATTGTACCAGAACCGGATAACTCTGTCGAAGCAGCATTGTCCAAAGAACTTGCATATGCTAACATAGGAGTCTACTGGGACATCATGGATTGCCCAATCCCTAAGGGCCTCAATCCTGATTCCATCTATGCCAACATCAGATTAGGTCTTGGTATCATGGGATATCATGGTGAGCTAACAGATAGTTGGGGTTATGCTAGCAAGGTCTCGTCGGATATGTTTGATGACTATGATGATGCCGGAATCTTGATGGAGGAATCAACGAATTCCGAGAGAGCTCATAAGATGGCAAATACCATTCTTTTGTTTGCACTGGACAATCCTTATAATCCATCAAATTTGTTGGTGATCGCAGATGACATGCCACAGAAGCCGGAGCTGATGAGGGTTCTTCAAGTTTTGAAACAGAGAAACATCAATGTTGTGGTAGCACAGCCTGATAAGCTGGTACCAATAGAGCTTCATAATATTGCAAGCTGTGTTTGCCTTTCTACGAGCCTATTAGCTAGAGGAAAGGCTACTCTGTTAGAGGTGAATCCAGAGAATAAGAACGTCTTGGATCCTAGTTTTCTCGATGACTCTGCAGTGCCCAAAAAACTTAAACTTACCTACGGTAACACAGGGGTCTTCTGGGACACCAAGGATTGCCCAAACCCTAATGCTCTAGAGGTAGATTTCTGTTCGATCGATAAGAGTATCAAATTAGGTCTTGCTAGTATGGATAAAAGTGGTAGTAGGGTGACGTCAATCTCGGCTTATGATGATGGTGGGAATATAAGTGTTTGGAATGGAGGGACCGACGCCATAATGGTTTCACACAAAGGAGATCGATTGAAGAGAATGGCATTGGACATTCTTTTGTGGGCACTGGACAATCGTGTGGGACAATATCCGATTGGTCATAGACAACCAAATGTGATAGTGGTCTCAAAAAACTTGTCAGAAGACGAGGATTTCGTCAAGACACTGCACTATTTGAGTGGCAGACAATGCAATGTTATATTTGGAGTGCCTGATGAAGTCAAAATTGTAAGCTTTCTATGAGAAGTGTTGGGGACAAGCAACATCAATGAGACCGCAAATTGTTTTACGTGGAAAACCTCTCCGATGTAAGGAGATTTTATATACAGGAAAGTAGGTATTTATAGTTTCTTGATGTTCAAACTTAGTAGTTAATATTGAATTGAATTATCCCCATCACACAAATGTATGCGTGTGTGATTTGATTACAGTTTGGTCTTAAATTTCATCAATGATTGGCATTTTAAAAATAAAAATAAAAAATTGGACATGTACTTGTCACGAGCATCTTCAGCTATCTCATTATAATTAAGAGGGTTGAGAATCTGATAAATATGAGCACTTTTTTTCCCCAGAACTTGAGGAAGGTTACGTAAGAGTCTATACATGCTAGCCATCAAAATAGCATGAAATAATTCTATGGATTTAAGGAAACAAGAACACAGAAGAAAACATTTATTTATTCTTGAAGCGAGTTAGTGTCTGATATAGTTAAACATTTATTCAACCGGCTAACATAACAGTCTCCTTAGCAAATAGTATGGCTCTTTAAAATTTAGGAAGTGACATGGATAGCTTAGTAGTAGCTGAATCTACTATGATTAGAACTACCAAGACAACACGAAGAATCAATCAATTCTCTCATTCTATAGAACTACAATGATACTTATAGAAAGGTCAAAGACACAACATAGCAACATCTTGTTTTCGAGCACTATTGTAATCATAGTACGTAGAAGAATGGTAGATAGCTGCTAATCTTAAAATGTGAAATGGAGCTTAGGTAATGGGAGAGTATTTTGTCTCAGAAACAACTTCAATTTTAACCTCAACATTCAAATTCTCTTCCTTGTCCAAGTAAAGCTTCCGAAGTTCATCTGAAGACAAAAATTGATTCCAACCCCAACCAGCGTTTGCTTCAACGTGCCAGTCATAGACTGCAAGAAAACAAAAGACGAAGCATGCATGATTATTAAAAAAAAATGAACGCCAAACGAATAATCCGGTACATTATCCTGAAGACGAGAACCAACTGTTTAGTTAAAATAAAATAAAAATGTAGGTGTGTTTTAGAAATTACATTGGCCATCCTTGTGAATGGATCCAAGTGGGTCTAGAACTCGAAAATTTCCTTGAATGAAGATCTTCTCATCTGCTTTTGGTTTATCAAAATCAGCTAAATGCAGAAAAACAGATAACCATTTGCCATCGTTTTTATAGCCCTTCGGATACAGCTTTAGAACCCTAAACAAACATCGATTATTAATATATTATGAACCACTTATATACCATTCATAAGTAAGTACACATATTTATTTAATTTTGTAGAATTATATATACTCACCAATTCCTTCCTCCCATTGAAAAAAGGTTTGATGAGTGTTCATCCTCTTTCGAGAAAGAAAAGTTCTTAACAGTCCATGAGAACTTGGGATTAATGAGTTTCTCATTGAAAGAGGGGATCTCCCACTTGGTAAGTGGTGGAGCAACGATGACATCAACACCAAACTCACATTGATCTCCATCGAAAATATAGCCATTTTCAGGGTTAATGAATGTGTCACATGGAAGAACTTGTTGCAATCCCCACACCGTTTTAAGTGCATTGAACCGCTTTACTTCTAGATCTGAATTTGAACATATTATGTGATATATGTATATATGGAGAGAGAGGGAGAGAGAGCATGATCAGATGTAGTTGACCTTGAATAGTGAAGTACTTGTTTTGTTTCTTGTTGAAGACAAAAAAACGGAGTTCGGCAAAAGCCTCATTTGGTGGTGTGGATATCATCAAGCTTTCGTTGTCTATTTCCACGTACAAGGAGATAAATCCACTTCCATTGTCCTTTTCATTTCCTTTCGGGTATACGATCAATCTCCTGTTATATTAACAAACAACAATACTGCATTTTAGCTAAATACGGATGTATGCTGATAACGATGTTGTTTAGTTACGCTAAATGAATAAAAGATTCGCACGTACCAGTTATATCCACCGGAGGAGAAAACACGAGATTGGTATTTATCGTCAGAGGAAGAAGTCGAATTCTCAAGTAGTGAGAAGTTGTGAATCTTTAGGGAATACGAAGATGGAGGATGCTCTCTCCACTTCTCCACATTTTTAGAAACCGGTACTGAGCTTGACCCCATTCTACCCAAAACACGTAAGACTATAGTGAACTCTAGTAGTTGTGGACACTATATATAATAAAAAAGAGACGTTTGGAGTGTTCAAGATAATGATTAGGTTTTTTCTTCTTCAAATTAAAACGATGTTACATAAAGAAAATGAAGCGTCTTGGAAATAACATTGGGAGAGGAAGGCGTAGCAGTCTCATAACGACTTTATTTAGAATACAAAGAGCCATAACTCGTGAATCCAGGCGTTTACACTATTCGAGAGTATTCTTTAATTAATTTTGACATCAATACTATTCATGTAAGAAGTTTGAAAGTTTTAGTTTACCAAAAAAAAAATTTGAAAGTTTGAATGACGAGTGTAGAAAGATTCACCTTTATTGTTAGCTTCACAAATAATCAAATTTCCAAGTTTGGCTTTTCAATAATCTCATCGTACAATGGAGAGTACCGTTTGAGTGAAAGACATACAATCTCATCGTTTGAGTTTAACAAATATGTTTGATTTTAGCTTCTTAGCTAGAAAAATTACAAGTGGCGAGTGTATATTTTATTTTCTAATCATAATGCTTCAACAGAGTATTGCTCGATCATTTCTGTTTAAAGTAACCTAAGCTGCTTAAATTTAATAATTTGTACAAAGATTAATTCTAACTCCTAACCTATCTATGCCGTCTATTGCAAGAGTTTGTCACGCTTTACCAGAAAAAAACCTCTCCAAGCTTGTTCATCTTGAAACACCTATGCGTATAAGAATTTGTTTTCTTTTTTATAATCCAATTATTAAAAAAAAAAGAAATCGAATGATGATTAAAAAACAACCAAGCCATAACATTATCTTGTTCTCATAGCAATATAGTAGTAGAGATAGTAGAAGAATGGTAAATAACTGATATTCTAATAGTAAAAAATAGAGCTTAATAATTATATATTGGGAGAGTATTTGGTCTCAGAAACAACTTCAAATTCGACCTCAAAAATCAAATTGTCTTCCTTGTCCAAGTAAAGCTTCCGAAGTTCAGCTAAAGACAAATATTGATCCCAACCCCAACCCATGTTTCCTTCCAAGTGCCGGCCGTTCACTGCAAGAAAAAAAATTAGGAAATATGATTGTAAGCATATATGTATCAAGTATCAACCGTTGCTTATTTAGTTGAAGAAAACAAAATGTAAATGTGTTTTAGAAAGTACTTGAACGTGCAAAGTGATTGGACCCAAGTGGGTCTAGAACTCGCAAATGTGCTTGGGTGTAAATCGTCTCATCTGCTTTCAGTTTTTCGCTATCAGCTAAATACAGAAATACCGATAGCCATTTGCCATCAGCTCTAGAGTTTCCATTCGGATGCATCTGTAGAACCCTACAAAACATAAATGATTATGTGTTCGTGTATAAACAGTTACATATTTATTCTTCCGAAAACAAAGGCTTTTTTTTTTTTTGTCAACGAAACAAAGCTTATCTATAAACTCACCATTGTCTTCCTCCCTTTGAAAAAGTGTTTGATGTGTATTGATCATTTTTCAACAAAGAAAAATTCTTAACAGTCCATGCAAACTTATTAGGACGAGTAAGTTTCTCATCGAAAGAGAGGATCTCCCAACTGGTAAGGGGTGGAACAACAATGACATCAACACCAAACTCACATTGGTCTCCCTCAAAGATGTATCCATTTTTAGGGTTCTTGAATACATCACATGGAAGAACTTGCAACAACCCCCACACCGCCTTTAGTGCATTGAACCGCTTTACTTCTAGATCTAAATATATATGAATAATATAATTATATCAAGTGATATATATATATATATATATAGAGAGAGAGAGAGAGAGAAAAAGATGTAGAGAGAGATAGATCAGAAGTAGTTGACCTTGTATAGTAAAGTACTTGTTCTGTTTCTTGTTGAAGACAAAGAAACGAACTTCTGCAAAAACATCAGCTGGTGGTGTGGATATCATCAAGCTTTTGCTGTCTATTTCCACGTACATGGAAATAAATCCACTTCCATTGTCCTTTTTATTCCCTTTTGGGTGTACGATCAATCTCCTGTTTTTTTAGACAAATAACATTACATAAATAAAGCTATATATATTGAAAATTATGGCGCTTAACATGATCCTTACCAGTTATATCCACCGGATGAGAAAACACGAGATTGATATTTATCATCAGTGGACGAAGTCGAGGTCTCAAGTTGTGAGAAGTTATGAACCTTGAGGGAGTAAGAAGATGGAGGATGCTCTCTCCACTTCTCCACAGTTTTAGAAACTTCTTCTGAGCATGAACCCATGACTATGATGAACTATTATCCGTTTCTATATATATAAGAGGAATCTTGGAGTAGTGTTCGGTGAAATAATATGAAAGTGTATGTTTGAATGGGTTTACATAGGTAGACTATTTATATAAATATGTAGTTCCTAATCCACCTAGAGATTTGCTAGAATAGTATATTGCAAATAGAACTAAATCTAAATATGTCTTTATCTCAGTATTCAGGATAAATAATAATTACAATATCGGATAGATTTCTTCCTTTTGAGTGTTTGCAATTGATTCTTGTTGGCTATGACCGAGACTTTGATACCATTTTATTGTGAATCTTTGTTCAGTCACTTCACAGTTCACTGACGTTCTTCTACTTGAGTTTGATTTTAGGTTTTGTGACATTACAAGAAGAGATTCAAAGAAGAGAGATTCACGAGTTCCCAAAACCATTACCAAATCCACTATAATTAGAGCTACAAGATCACAATCTTCTTACAAGAAAAGAAAAAAGACAATACCTCTCTGGATCATATCTGTTTAAAGTAACCTAAGCTGCTTAAACTTGAAAAATTGTACAAAGACTAATTCTAACTCCCAAGTCCTAACCTATCAATGCCGTGTAGTGCAAGTAGTTTAAGCGAAATCGGATTGAGACGCTGAAAAATGACACAGGACAATGGGTGGTGAACCAAGACGAACTGGAAGCATTGGCGGTGGGATACTTCCAAAGACTCTATTCCCTGGATGACGTGGATGCTACGGTAGAGCGACTCCCCCACGGTGGCTTCACGGAGCTCAGTCGAGAGGAGAAACTGAGGTTGGATAGACCCTTTGTAGCAACTGAGGTGGTATGGGAAGGTTCAAGGCTCCGGGGATAGATGGTTTTCAACCCGTCTTCTATCAAGATTGCTGGGACATGGTCGGAGAGTCTGTTGAGCGCATCGTCTTGGATTTTTTTGAAACAGGACAACTACCAGAGGGGATGAATGATGCTTTGGTTGTTTTGATTCCAAAGGTGGAGAAGCCGGAACAGGTGACACAGTTCCGACCCATTAGCTTGTGTAATGTCCTGTTTAAGACTATCACGAAGGCTATGGTTACAAGATTAAAGAGTATAATGCCAAAGCTGATAGGCCTTGCGCAGTCAAGCTTCATTCCGGGGAGATTAAGCGTTGATAATATTGTGGTGGTGCAGGAAGCGGTACACTCTATGAGGCGTAAGAAGGGGAAGAAAGGTTGGATGCTACTAAAGTTGGACTTGGAGAAAGCCTATGACAGGATCAGATGGGACTTCTTGGAAGATACGTTGAGAGTGGCGAGATTCCCAGACAAGTGGGTGAACTGGATAATGCGGTGTGTTGTTGGACCGTCGATGCATGTGCTTTGGAATGGTGAGAAAACGGCGCCTATTACACCGTTGAGAGGCTTACGACAAGGCGATCCGTTGTCGCCATATCTGTTCGTTCTTTGCCTCGAGAGATTATGTCACTTGATCGATTGTTCTATAACTAAGGGAGAATGGAAGCCTATCAGACTATCTCGGGGCGGGCCTCAACTTTCCCACATATGCTTTGCGGATTACCTCATCCTATTTGCTGAAGCCTCGGTGGGTCAGATTCGTGTGATAAGACGTGTGTTGGAAACCTTCTGCATCGCCTCGGGTCAGAAGGTTAGTCTTGACAAATCTAAGATCTTTTTCTCGGAGAACGTGAGTCGGAATATGGAGAGATTGATTACGGATGAGAGTGGGATCAAGGCAACGAGAGAGGTGGGGAAGTATCTTGGGATGTCCATCCTACAGAAGAGGATCAATAAGGATACATTTGGGGAAACGTTGGGGCGAGTCTTATCTCGCTTGGCAGGGTGGAAGGGATGTTGCCTGAGTTTCGCGGGACAGCTCACGTTAATAAGGTCAGTACTCTCCTCAGTACCAGTTCACACGATGAGTACAATATCACTGCCGAAATCTACGCTGAATAGCTTGGACAAGGCATCAAGATCCTTCCTCTGGGGAAGTACCACAGAACAGAGGAAGCTGCACTTGCTGAGTTGGAGGAAAGTATGCCAACCGAAGCGAGCTGGAGGTCTCGGGATACGCTTGTCATCTGATATGAATAAAGCGCTATTGGCCAAAATAGGGTGGAGGCTTCTCCATAATGTTGATAGTTTGTGGGCACGAGTGCTAAGAAGTAAGTATAAAGTGAAAGAGCCTCATGATCAGAGCTGGCTGGTGACTAAAGGTACATGGTCCTCAACATGGCGAAGTGTTGCTTTGGGCTTGCGAGAGATAGTCATGCCCGGTTTAAGTTGGATCGTCGGCGATGGAAAACACGTGAAGTTTTGGATGAACAGATGGTTAGTGGAGAAGCCGCTTAGAGAAGTAGCTTTATTGCCACTTGCAAATGAAACTGAGGAGGTTCGGGTTTGTGATCTATGGCGAAATGGGACTGGTTGGTTGGTGGAACAGTTGGAATCGCTGCTCACATCTAGCGTGATACTACAACTACAATCGGTGGTCATTGATAATGTCACCGGAGCAAAGGATAGAATATCATGGGGAGAGAGGCCTGATGGAAGATTCACAGTAGGCTCGGCTCATGCTTTCTTTACGAGGGACAATACACCTCGGCAAGACCTGGGTGCTGTATTCACGCGGGTTTGGCGAGTAGTCGTACCGGAAAGAGTCCGGACCTTCATCTGGCTGGGGGTACATCAGGTGCTTATGACAAACTCAGAGAGGCAGCGGAGACACTTGTCGACGTCGGGAGTGTGTCAGGTGTGCAGAGGAGGAGATGAAACTATCCTACACGTGCTCCGAGACTGTCCAGCGATGGAGGGCATTTGGCGTCGTATTGTACCGGTGCGCAAAAGGTAAGAGTTTTTCACTCAAACGCTGTTAGAGTGGATTTACTCGAACCTTGGTGATCATGGAGAGATTTGGGATACCACCTGGTCCACCTTGTTTGCTATGGCAGCTTGGTGGGGATGGAAGTGGAGATGTATTAATGTCTTCAATGGGTCCGGAAAATGCAGAGACAGAGTACAGTTTGTGAAGGATCAAACGCGGGAAGCGACAGCTGCACATCAAAGTGTTAACATAAATAGCAGGACCAGAGCCACATGGATAGAGAGACTGGTCCATTGGGTGCGACCAAGTGCAGGCTGGGTGAAGGTAAACACAGACGGAGCGTCTAGAGGTAACTCGGGTCTAGCGTCTGCAGGAGGAGTGTTACGAGACGAGCTTGGGTGCTGGTGCCGTGGCTTTGCTCTCAACATAGGCATTTGTACAGCACCTCTAGCTGAATTATGGGGTGTGTACTATGGACTGTGTATTGCTTGGGACAGCAAGGCCCAGAGAGTAGAGTTGGAGGTCGATTCGGAGATGGTTGTTGGTTTTCTCAGGACAGGGATTGAGGAGGTACATCCGCTGTCATTCCTGGTACGCTTGTGCCATGGCTTTCTATCAAGGGACTGGATAGTCCGGGTTTCTCACGTGTATAGGGAAGCTAACCGCCTTGCGGATGGGTTAGCTAACTATGCGTTCTCGTTGCCTTCGGGTTTTCACTCTTTTACTTCTGTATCGGATGATGTTCATCCACTCTTCTTAGAGGACTCTGTTGGGACTGGTATTTCACGCCTAATCCGTTTGTAACTTTTATTTGATTCTTTTAATAAATTGGGGGCATAGCCCCCTCCTACGACCAAAAAAAATTGTCTTAATATACAATCTTTTTATACAAAAAATCTTTCAACTTTTTCTGTTGTTGTGTACTTGTATATGACTAGTTGTTTAAACTAACTAGTGTATGGCTCTTTCCACCCAAAAAAAAACTAGTGTATGGCTGTTTACGTACCACTGCATATTGGATACTAAAACTAAACTAATGTAAATATAAACACTCATTAGTTAAGCTTAATGTATACTCCATAAACACTAGCTAGTATACTAATCAAAACATACAATAAATAAGACACGAAACAGTTACAAAAACAAAATACATAAAGTTCCAATAAATGAATGCACTTTAATTTATATAGTTTAAATTATAAGAACGGGGCCCTATAGAGGAGCTTTTGACCCTTTGAATCTGTGAAAGGAGATAAACACTCTTCAGTTGTGTGGCCGTCGATTGATACAAAGACTCCTCAACTATCCAAATGGCCACATTTGAATCTTCTCTCTCTCTCTCCTATTTTCACTAAAAATACATACAAACCAAAAAGGATAGTTTATTTTTATTTTCCAAGTGGCTCGTAAATCATGGTACCCACTATCCCCGACACACTGACATGACCAAGGTTCGATCCCGCATCTTTCACTAAACGTGGGAAAAAGTTACTCCTCGTTTACGAATTTAAGTTATGGAATGCATATTCAATTGAGACAGGATCTGATGTCCTACGTGAAAACATGTCTGGTCAAGAAAAGGTAAAACTTTTGCCTTACATGAAGATAAATGTTTTGATCCGTTCTCATCTAATAAACAATCCTGTTTTTATTTGGATTTAGAAACACAGCTGAGATATGATTTAATTGAGAATAAAATGAAATGTGATAGCAAAAAAAAAGAAAATGTATATTCAAGATTCTAGTTTCATTCTCATTCCACTTTTTCATTTTAGACTTTCGTTTGTCTCACAAATCTTAACATAATTATTGGATCAACAACCTTCCCTTTGTCTACTAACGACACGATATATCATGTATATGCTTATAACGAATAACGAGAGTAATAATTTAAGTATCAGTACCTAGTGGTAGTGTAAGATATTTTAAAACAAAGTTTAACCTAACAATTAATTAAATAAGGATTAATGATATAGATTGCGCCGCACACATTTGAAGTGGAGCACATGGACTCACAGTTGGCCTCAATCTGCTCCGAGAAGTCGCGTCTAGAGTTCTTTCTTCTTTCTTCTTTCTTCTTTTTATATAATTAAAATATATAAGCAAATCGCAAATGCCAAATTTGCTTCTCTTTGTCTACTTGTCTAACTAATGCTCTTTTTTCTCTTGTTGATTTAATAAATCTAGTTAATGAAGAAGTGACACTTTGCTTCTGTTTTCTTTTATTACTAATGTTTGATTACAATACATTGTAAAGATTAACATCTAGTAATACTTCACTAGTTTGACATTTGGATACAAAAAAGAGATGAGACCTGAAGAAATTAAATAATAAATGTTTATGTTTTCCTTGGTGCACTGAACCATAAGAAAAATGATGTGATTTGATTGGTAATTTTGTTTTTTGTTTGGATTTTATAGAGAAGAAAGAGACATCTATGTTGTTTTGAATTCTATTGTCAATAAAGTTATAAATAAACAAAATGGTATGAAATGACGGTTGAAAACTTAAGTAAGTGTTGGTGGACTAGTGGAATTTGAGGAATTATGTCTTGTTAGTTTAGGTCAATGGTTAATATTTTTTGTAGATAGTGGAATTATCTAGTTATTCTTATTTGGTTATTCAAAGCTATATCATATCTTAGATCCATTACAAAAATCCAGTAAATTGGCTAATCAGCAGTTATCTTCACATTTATAAAAATTAGTCAATGTTCAAAATCCGATTCTCCTCCTACTTATTTTTTTAAAAGACGTTAAACAAGAATGCGACATAAATACTAATAATACAAAAACGAACGAATTTTGGTCACCAATAGCATTTTCAAGTGATTGATAAAATATTTACGAATTGTGGCAAAAATATGTATTGTTCTTTACATAGTGTCATAGTTCAACAACTTATAAACGGAGAATTTTGTTTTTAACTCTCTCGTGTTGTTTAAATATTTACATCATAGCCAAATGAGCATGCATCATATCTTTTATAAATTTGTTTAGTGAAAATCCAAACTTTTTTGTTTTTGTGAATTCGAACTTCTATTTCAAGCAACCAGCAATTACGAGTTTCCGTTTCGTACATTTCAATATATCTAAACCCACCTGCTCTATGCCTTTTGCTCTTTATATAGCGGGAAAACATTATAAAACATATGAAAATAATTAAACAATTAGTTGAATAAAATAAGGTATGAAAACGATTAAATTAGTTAAAAAATAAAATAAAACTGTTTGTGCAGCACGAGACGAGACGCTACATAGCGTCAAAATGACAGTTGATCAGTTTGAAGTTGTATTGGAACCGTGCTTACCACGTCCGCTAATAGCCAAACCCGACCAACCGTTTAGTAGTTCCAAACTCCTGCACTAAATTATTCAAACAGACAAGAAACTTTATAAAATTAATTACGTTAAACCGGTCAAACGCATTGTTTTGTGTGGATGCAAATTTATTTATTTGCTCCTTGGGCTCGATGACAGAATTAAAGTAATCTTTAAAGCTTACTACTAAACTAATTGATTTAATTTATTTTTACAGGTCAATGATCTGTTATCGTAATCATGGAAGCGAATCACTATAGGTACAACTCATAACCATTGGATGAATAAAAAACACATAAAAGGAGATTTGCATTTTTTAAAAATTACAAAAAAAAAAGTTATCCAAAACAAAAAAATACAAAAATTACGTTATGGTTCATGTCATTATATTTTCTAGTAAATGTATGTTTTTACCTTTTACATATTAATTTTAGAGATAAGTGTATTTAGTATTTGTATAAATCATCATCAATGTTATTATTTATAACGGTTAATTAAACTATAACTATTAAAAAATTCAAGTACTATTTTGTAAAAAAAAAAATCACATTTGCAAAATAAAATATGGAAGAAGAGGATTCCATATTTGGAAGCAAAACTAGCATCATACCACTTTGATGAAATTTTGCAACTGGAAGTGTAATATAACAATGTAGCAAAAATGCAATAAATGTTGGAGATGCTCGAAGACTACCCACTTATTAATTATCATGATACATATGTGTGGCCTTCTGTTAGTGGAATTGGAATCTTTAAAGTTTAGAACAATAAATTAAAAAGGAACAACTAATCATGATTCACTTCTTCATGATGGTTTTTTATTATTAGTTCCAACTTGATGAGAAAAGGCTCAATTAAATTAAGATCAAGTATAAATTACTATATCGAATTTCTGTATTTTGACTTTTCTACGCCTTACACTCAAATTCTTAGTATTTTCATGGTTTTTTTTTTAACAAAGGCTTTTGTATTTTCATGTTACATTGCAGGGTTAACTTTTACATTCACATATTTGTTTAAGACGATGCTTTTGTAGTAGTTTAATATGCATCAACCTGTACCACAAAAAGAGAAACCGAGACTAGAAAGACACTTCAAACCGAGACTAAAAGGAAAAGATTCTGTTTTCTTAATAAAAAAATAATATCACGCTTGCAAACGATCGCGATACGTGCACTAAGCATCTTCTAACTATTCTGCTAATTTGTTTCTTTAATTTTTACTGGTCGCAAATCGGTAATATGATTGATGTCATAATGTATCAAAGCATATAACGTGATGCCAAATATCGTGAATTTGATCGTCTTTCGTATATATATATACTAAATTGTTCTACGTAGCTTCAGCAAAAAAAAAAGGATTGTTCAATGTAGAGACTAGGAGAGTATCAAATAAGTGGAAGGCAAAATGTCATTTTTATAAATTGTAATTAAGAATCTTCGATGTTATCATGACTCATATATAATATCACAGAGACAGAATATTCGGAAATAAGAGTTGGTGTAGTTATCAATCTGTATGCTTTGTGGCGGCTTTAAAAGAAAGAGACCAGTGGTGCAGCTTTTGCATCTTCCTTAAGTTTCGTTTTAGAACCACTTAACTTATCCAAATACGCACGTTTCTCTTACTTTTTCTTTATATAAAAAAAGGTTCTCGTACTTTTGACAATATTAAAATTTTCAAGTGCTTTTAAAAAATAGACTGGTCAGAGTCGGAAAGCAGAATTTCGTAATGTAACTTTTTTTTTAATCAATCGTTGTCCATGATGTATATGGTTTATAAGAATAAACTGTTTTTTTTTAAATGTAAATTATTAAAAACACTACTTCGATCTTAACTGAATAAAGTATTTCTAAAATCCATATTTCATAACTTTCAAGTTTCAGTTATATATTTTTATCCATTGTTTTTGTTCGAAATTTTCTCTTGCCGATTAAATAATTATTGGTCTAACTTCTAAGCCCTTTTTAAAAAAAAAAACTATATATGAACCATACAAAACTTATAATAATCCATCCCTTTACAACTTACTACAATTTTAAAAAGTTACTTTCGGCCAATTTTGCGCGTGGCTAACGTAACATTTATATCGATGAAATTTATTTTTCTGCAAAAGCTGCCCCTTTTTTGTTAATTTAAATTGAGAATGATGTTTTTAATTTTGTCGTGTAATGGAGAAGATTGGTGAGGTGGACAGAATCGTAGGAATGGTCACGTTGAATTGTCTTAGTTTCTAAAATATTGCCCATAACGTGACAGGTAGATAGATCATAGATGATCTGTCCGTTTTAGTTTATAGTTACAGGCACCTACTTACACTCTCTTCATAGCTTCGATTGCCTGACCTCTTTGGTCCTTTCATCAACCGCTTGTCGGATAATTTAATTTGTTCATTTACACGGTTACGTATATTCTTATTGGCTATATAGCCTCCGACCAAATCAAAGAATTATGTTTAAAAAGGAACTGAAACGAAAACTTTA